CAAGTCTGCCACCTTAGCCCATAGTGCTTGGAGATGATCCATGTAAGGAGCAATCTCTTGGACTCGATAATTAGCAATAGTCATTCAGGTCTTGGCAACGAGATACTCATCCCTTACAAACCAATTATTTTTGAAATAGTCTTAAAAGAGCTCCTTACAGCAACAGTTGATAATGTTGTAACACGCCGGGACTTGAGTGTGAAGGAGTGCCAGTTTAGGTATGGAGATTACCTTCTCCATAACCTCAAGAGCCTAAATCATCTCCTTGTAATTCTACTTAAGGATGAGGAGTAGGTCTCGGTTAAGTTGAAACTGAATGACCCTCCAAGCATCAAACACCGCGTCTATTCAGGGATGCGAATGTGGTCTAGAAGAGTGTCAGTGGGAACCGCCTCCATTGAAGCAAGCTAAAGAAGAAAAGAAGCAAGGTTAGTGAGGAGAGAAAAAAGAAATGGATAAGAAGAAAAGGGTATAACAAGCTAATACCTGATTCAGGCCCACAAGTGCTTTGTCTTTGCCTGTAAAGTGGGGAGGGGTATGTATAGACCGTGCAGCTAATCGTAAGGCCTTCTCCACACGGCCTGTAGGTGTGAAGGAGTCAGTTTGGCCCCATACTGAGACACCTTAGGTTGAGGCCAAGGCAACTATCATATTCTCTAAGGTTAGAATGCTAGTGGCTGTGAGACTGGCAATAGTTGCCACCTAAGATCCTTCTAAAGACTTTTCAAAACCCCCAGCCTCAAGGGTGCTTGCTAAGCTAGTGGGTGGGATCGAGTTGATAGGGGGAACCACCCTTGGGGCCTTAATAAAGGTAGGATCTTGAACTTTATTGGCCCCAAGCTCTAACTCACCACTCAGTGCTACAGTAGAAGCGTGCTCTTAACTAATAGTAGCCCCGAAGCCTTCTTGACCACTAACACTATCTAGGGTCGAAGCAAATATGGCTCCTCAAACCTCTACGGTAGCCTCAGATCTTCCTATGCCTCCTATTATCTCTCGAGCCATGTCCTAAGTAACCTCAAATGGATCATCAGGGATTGACTTAGAGATTGCTGTAGAGGCAACTCCTTAAGAGACTAGGGTTGTTAAAGAGACTATGGAGGTAGAAGAAGTGACCACCTGATGGTCCGGCGTAAGCTTAAGTACGGTAGTGAAAGTCACCACTAGGAGGTCCAGGAGCTAAATCTCCACCCCTCCACAGTAAAGGGGACTCACCTTGCTGTTGTTAGAGTCTATTGATAGGATCATCATTTGCTGGTGCTTATACGTGCTCTTTCCCTTCTAGGGAGTAGGTTCGATTGGAAGAGGAGTAGAGGAAGGTTGATTAATGAGAAGAGGCATTATCTTTTCCTCCTTTTGTGGTCAGGTAAAGAAGATAAAGCCTACTTCCTCTTGTTAGGGCCATCTCCTTTATCTGAGCGACTTAAGGGGTGAGTCTTCTTAGCCCTAAGCTTCTTCAGGACCAAGACATAGGAGGATGCATCGTCCTACTCTATCCCTTGGATAACAGTCCTTAGTGAGGGGGCCGTCTAGGTCTCAGAAGTAGTGGGGGCATTGATGTTTCCCCTCAAGAAGTTCATAAGCATGTGATTGTATCCAATCATGGCCTACAACAAGTTAAAATAGGTTAGACTATGTTATAAGATTAAAGAAGGAAAGGTAGAAGAAAAAAGAACACAAGAGACAATACTTACTGATATGGCTCTTTATTATATGCCTATAACACTAGGGCCATCATTTAGTAAAGCAAAGGTAGGCATCTCTATCTACAAGCTCTACCTTGCACTGCCTTTAGGTAGTGTGTAGGACGGCTATCTAGTTGATAGCCTCTTAATCTAATAACTCCACACTAATTTGGGGGGACAGCCCATGAGGGATGTATTAGCTCATTCCAAATTGGTCCGCCACCAGTTGAGGACAATCAAACTCCAAGTAAACCTTCAGAAACTTGAAGGAAGAGCTAGTGTACGGAAAGTACATCTTTTTGGAAGAAGTGGCTGAGCAAAAAAACTTATCCCTTAGCAATGGGGTGGGCTTATTCTTCTGGTCTAGCAGATGTTTATACCAGGTGGGAAGACGGTTGTCCAGACTGTTGAAAGGCTTCAAGATCAGTAAGGACCGGCTCTGCTGACTGAAGAACTCAAAGAAGTTCTTCGAATCGATTAGAGGATGACCACCCAAAAGGTAGGTGAAGGGGTGGTTGGCATAAAAATCTTAAGGGAAAGGTTCCTGATGGAGAAGAGGGAAGTAGGCTATCATCTAAAACTTTAAGAACTAAATGGGCTCGTAAAAGTTACTGAAAGTCTTCTTTATCAGCAACTCTCTCATACCGTTGTAAAAGCAGTACAAGAATATGGTCCCTAAGGCTATCTTGTTGCCATAGAGGAGGGACTGGTTGATCCTCAAGTGCAATTACATAGGCTTCCCACCTCTTGGGGCTGGGAACTATTAGTTTAATAAGATCCAAATGAAGACCAGGTGCTCCATAGGGGTAACGGGCTCATCCATCAGCTTCTCAAAGAATAGCTCTATGATATTCATATAGGAGCCCGCGCTCTTAATCTTGCTCTCTAATTTAGCTGAGAGGGTAATGTAGGAGTCATGCTTCTCAGGGATTACATAGAAGTTCTCCTCCCCGATGATAGACAGCCCTAGGTACATGAAGACATCCCATAATATGATGGACATGGGACTTAGCTTGAATATAAAGGCATTATAGCCTAGAGCCTAAAAACTCAAAAGGCCCGTCAGTAGGTCAATTGAGATGTCGATATTGGCTAAAGACAGCTAAATAAAGTCATAAAGACCTATCTCCTTTCACTAAGGCGAATAAGTCTGATTCAAGCATCCCACCCAATTGACCCAAGTGTGAGGAGATCGAGGCCAGTTCCTAAGCTTTCAGCAAGATGACTCAAGAAAAGGTGAGGTCGTCTGGGCCAAGACTAAGTTGTAAACTGAGGTCAGCGGCCATGGATTTGGCTGGGTGGAGACAGTCACTTTAGACAAATTAGGAGAAATAGTTAGGTACCCGATAATACTCTTATTAGAGATTTGGAAACTCTAAGGAGAATACTAAAAAAGTAATGAATAGTTAGCGTGTTTCCCCAATAAAATAGAAGGACTAAACAGGAGAAGTAAAAAGCTTACCGAAAGTGACGGAATCATGGAACTAAGAATTCTCCTATAATGCAAATAAAAAAAAATATCAGAATGAGGACCTAATCTAAGGAAAATAAGGTTTTTTTAACAATTAAATACGTACCATTACAAATTTACTGAGTGAGGCAACAGGATTCTGGATAGTGGCCAGGGAATTAGGAAAACTTCCAGTGGGTGTGGAAGATGGAGCAGTAGTAAAGGTAGTGGTAGAAGTAGAGAAAGCCATTTGTGAGCAAAGGGAAGATTGGAGCAAGGAAGGAAAAAGCTTGAATGTCAAGAAATGGCAGAAAGGACAAGAGAAGTGGCCAAAAAAAGAAATGAGTAACAAAGGGCACTCAGAGACAAATTGACGTTTTAGCTTTTTCAAATGTGCCATAAGGCTTATGTTATTAGCCAGTGGCACGCGAGGGGCATTATTTGGACTAAAATATGAAATTTCACTCAAATAGGTCATAAGGCTAGTTAGGCTGAGTAACTAAAGAATCAGGCCCAATATGAACAAAGGGGCTAACCCCGAAACTCAATAAAGGCCATAATAAAATAAATATGCCGAAATCATGTCAGTTGTAAATACTGGACTGTTGGTATAAGAAGATATGATCTCAAATAATTCTAAAATCCACAAACATGATGCCTAAGTATCTCGGTGAGATGGGTTGATTACAAAAAATAGAGAACACGAAATAAAGATCATGCCATGAGTTCCGTGAGATCCTTGATTCCTTGGCAAAACATGCTAGGTCTTAAAGGAGAGGCTACCACCATTCTGACACTATAAATAGAAGATAAAGACACAGAAGAAAGACAACCAACACTCAATCAAAGACTCACATTCTGCACCTTTAGCCTTTAGTTTTATCAGTTTAGTTTTACTTTCAATTTAAACTTGTAACATTTCACATTTTAATAAAAATTAAACACTTATTCTAACAAAGCCTTGTGTATCTTTTACATCCGAGTGAACAATGGTAAGGGAGCTTAGGACCCTTTTGTTATCAATTGAAACCTAGCATCTCTGGCGCACCTGGTATTTGTTGTTCACACCACGAACAACATAAAAATAATCCTCTCAGCATTTTTTTATGCATCATATCGACCACGACATTTCAAATATTTTTTTATACCATAGAAAAAGAAAAGTTTGATGAAGGAAGAAATAAGTTTAAGGGTATGGTCAACATGTTTAGTAGCATTGAATAATTAGTAAGGAATCAATTTAAAGGAAATTGAGCAACTTCTATCATGATAATTTCCTTTAGGCTAGAAGATTGAACTTCCTTTAAAAATGCTTATCTTACTTTGGAAGCTTCTACATGAAGCATTGCATACCAGTGGCGACATTCTCCAAAAATTCCATTTGTTTTCTAACAACACATGTACCTCTAAATGTCAAAATGAGGAATCAATTCTCCACCTTTTTTTTATGCCCTTTCTCAAAGCTTCTCTAGTTTGGTTACATGTCACTCCAAACATATTTCTTGAATTGCAATTAGTAAGTTACTTATAGCTTCTTGAGGATTTTATCAAGAGGCTATTTTTAGATAAGGAATTGGATCTACATAAGAAATTCATAATTTTAAGACATAGTATTTAGAAGATTCAGAATTTTATCATTCATAATGGTCACAAGCTTAATTTGAATAGAACTATATAAGAATTTCATCACTCATATCATTTCCTAAAGGATATTTGTACCTAGGATGAAAGAGATTTGCATGCATCAATCAGTACTCCTTACACCCTATTAGACAAGCATAATCTCATAGTTAATAGAAGGATATTTTCTTTGCTTAATGGATTATGATAGCACTTCATTTGCACTAGGAAAAAGAAGTGTGTTTTCATAATAGTTGACATTATTGTTCTTCAACAAGGACAACAAGTTGTCCTGGTCAAAATGCTGGTCTTATAATCTGAGTAACTTTGAGACTCTTTGTCTTTGATCTATTATGCTTCAGATTATAAAATTTGGTGTCCGAATGTTAAATACATAAAAATTCAACTACATAGAAAGAACTATATAAGATATAACAATTCTATGTGCTCCTCTAAATCAAACCGTTTATTAACTTACAATCAATCAAATATATAATAATTAAAAATTAATGAATGGGGTTTTCTTTATACACAAGAAAGTGAAAAAAAATACAAAAGATCAAACCATCGATGACAAATATTAGATCCCATTAAAGTCCTATATATGCAAGCAATTATGTTCATTGCTTCTTCTTCATGTTCAAGAAACTGAACAATGGTTTTCTTGGGACAGGAATGAACTTCACAACCCAACCAATAGGCCAAGAAATAGCTGCCATTAAAATGCAAACACCCCATTGCCCCCAATTCAACCTCTCAGTATCTGCAAATTTCTTTAGAAACTCCACCATCAATACCTGAAGCATGATGGTTATCCCTATGATTCCTACAAACAACTTGTTCTTGTGAATTCCCTTGAACACATTCTTCTTCTCTAGCTTCCTCGCATTAAACTCATTAAACATTTGACATAACACAAAGGTATTGAAAATCAATGTGTCATTTACCTCTGAACTCACACCAAATATATCCTCACCTTTAAATTGTAATGTCAGGAGAATTGTGATTTGGTATAAAGCTTGGGATAAGAGATTTCTCCACATGATGTTAGTGATGAGAGGCTCAGTTCTACCCACTGGGGGTTTGTTAAGTAACTCCGTTGTAGGCTTCTCTGTTGCCAGAGCTAGAGCACCCAAGGTGTCCATTATCAAGTTCACCCACAAGAGTTGAACTGCTGTTAATGGCACTTCTCCTGCTGATACTGCAGCGACAAAGTTGATTGCAAGTGCCGCAACATTTACTGTCAGTTGAAATTGAATGAACTTTTGGATGTTGTTATAGACACATCTTCCCCACTTTAAAACTGTCACAACTGAGGCAAAATTATCATCCAAGATAACTATATCTGAGCTTTCCTTTGCAACTTCAGTGCCTTGAATCCCCATCGAAAGTCCTATATCAGCTTCCTTTAATGCTGGTGCATCATTTGTGCCATCTCCTGTGACTGCAACTACATGGCCTCTTTGTTTGAGGCATTGAACCATAAGGAGCTTGTCAAATGGGGAGGATCGTGCCATCACACAAATTTTCTCCACCCTCTCTAGTCTCTCTTCGGGAGACAAGTTTCGAAATACCTCACCTTCGATTATAGCTTTTGATGTGTCTTGATTTGGATGGAGAATACCACATTCTGTGGCTATAGCTTTGGCTGTGAAAACATTGTCTCCTGTGATCATCTTCACATTTACTCCTGCTTGTTGGCAATCATCTACAGCTTTCTTGACACCTGGACGACATGGATCCTTAATACCAACAACTCCTAAGAGGGTAAGGCCATCTTCTTTTACCTTTTGGACTCCTCTATCATTTTCTTCAACTACATTTGTGTGTGCGAAAGCAATACATCTGAGGCTACTAGCCGCCATTCCTTGAATGATTTGCTCAAACACCAACCGGCTGCTGTCGTCAAGTTCTTTTATATTTCCAAAAGCATCATAGTACTTTGAGCACAATCTTAGTACCATCTCAGCTGCTCCTTTCCAATGCGCATGGACTTTGTTGTCTGCTTTCCTTCTAATCAAAACCCCACTTCTCTTCTTCTTTGAATTAAAGGCTTCCACATGAAGGGTGGTGCAGTTTTGTGCCAAATCCTCCATGTTCATGTTCAATTCAAGAACAGCCCATGAAAGAATGGCCTTTTCTGTTGGACTGCCTGTAAACTCATATTCAGGATCTGTTAATTTAGACTTGTAAACACTACCTGTTGTGTTAAGGGCAACCCCTTCTTGGATCAATTGAAGAACATTTGAATTGATTGATGATGATGTATGTGCCTTCCCTTCGATAGGTTCTTTTCCAAGCCAAAACTTAGTCACCTTCATCTGATTAAGTGTGAGAGTCCCAGTCTTATCAGTGCATATTGTGTTAGCAGACCCCATAGTCTCGCAAGCAGAGAGATTCCTCACCATAGCCATGTCAGCCATCATCTTCTTCATAGAATAGGCCAGCGTCAAAGTCACAGCCAAAGGAAGCCCTTCTGGAATTGCAACAACTACAATAGTGACTGCAGCAGCAACAATTTTCACAACTCCGTTCATTATATCATTAAACTTGGTGTTACTCCCATTAAACTCCTTATTCCCCTTCTCATCTGTTGTGTTCCCTGTGAAGTATCGAACTAACATAACAACAAGAACAAGAAAAGCCACAGCTAAACCAACCTTACCTATCGCTGTAGTAAGCTTATTAAGGCGTTCTTGCAAAGGGGTTTCTTCATTGTTATCTCTGCTTATCGTAGACATCATTTGACCCCATGTCGTGTTCATCCCAACGGAAGTAACGACCATTTTGGCAAACCCATCAGCCACTTTGGTCCCAGAGAACAAAAATGGGTTTTTGTCTCCGTTAATTTCTACGTGGTCACTCTCACCTGTCATGCTTGACTCATCAACTTGCAAAGAATGGCCTTCCAAGAATAAGCCATCAGCGGGAACTTGGTCTCCAATCTTCAACATCACGACATCGCCGACCACAATGTCATATATAGAAACTTGTTGCCGGCGACCACTGCGTAGAACATCAACTTGGATGTTATTGCTAACTTGGGACAGCTTGTCGAATTGTCTGTTCTGTCTATAGTTACTGATAGACGACACAGCAATGACAAGAAAAACAGCAACGAAGATGCTTCCACCTTCATACCAGCCTTCCTTGATTCCTTCCTCTTTGATGCCAAAGACAAGAGACAGAGCAGCACAAACCAAGAGAATCAGAATGGTTGGATCCTTGAAGCCTTCAATAGCAAAGTGAAAGAAACCTCTCGTAGGTGGTTTTGGGTAAGTGTTAGAACCAAATGCGACACGCCTCTGAATGACGTCATTGAGATCATCATTATCATCATTATCATCGGCCCCTTTGACTCCATAATTTACGTCGGTTTTTAGAGCAGAGACCAATCCATGGACCCCACCAAGATTTTGCAGAGTTTCGATATTTTTCTCCTTCACAAGATGACTAAGGGTGGTTTTATTAACACTAAAGGAATGGTCGGTGTCTAAATCAATGACGGTGTCGGAGGAAGAAGGTGACAACTCGGGCTTGTTCTTCTTTTTGGTGTCGGTGGTGATGGGAAGAAGCAAATTGGATTTGAAGTGAGACAAGAGAGCTCTGGAACAATATATGCTAACAAATGCAAAATGCCATTTTTTGTTTGGTTTGCTAAGATTCTTTCGAGCAGTCAAAAGTGTATGCATTGTCTCCAAATTTGTCACAAGTGCCATAGACATGTTTAGTCTTTGATATGTGGAAACTTACAGCAACAATACAATACCAGAGATGACAGAAATTAAGTTGTATATTGCAGAGAGCTAATAAACAAGCGAAGGCTATGAAATTTGAATACAGAAATTGAAGATTGCAATATAATGAGAGATATATGACAGGGACAACGTAAGAACTGAAAGGTTAATAATAGAGACACGCACAGCAATGAAATAGAATTTTAATGCGAAGTATAAAGTTTCTGAAACTGATGAAGCATAGCAGGCTGGTGAATATATATGTATGTATATAAGACTACATATATGTATATATGAAATATGAACGTAGGAGAGCCTTTGTACCGGAAGGATATAATGAGGGATGACAGGGACTTGTAAATGCAGCAAAAGCTTAGAAATATGTTATGAGCTGGAATATTATTGCAGGGTGGTGGAAATGAGACGATGGATATTTCATATATATATATAGAGGAGTTTTCCTGATCCCGAAGTCACGCCGGAAGGATCCAACAAATTCACACCGCGTTTGAATATTAAACTCCGATGAGGTTTCGTAGGAAGGCTCCGAAAAAATTGCGGATTTCTTTATTTCTTTTTGTCAGTTATTTACATGACATTTGAATTCAATGATTGTACTTAATATAGTATTAAATCATATCATTTAAATTACTAAAATTTAAATTAATAATTCTAAATTCATACTTTCTTTGAGATCAATGAATAAGTAAATATATTTGAACTATTAATATGGATTTCAATAACTCAGATGATTTAGGCACTCAATGTCTTCAATTACTGAATTCAAATCCATTTCAAGAAGAGTGAACATTTTATATTTTATAAAAAATAATAAAATAAAAAAATATTAATGAAAATTTTAATTTGGGTTCTGTCCCTTTTTTTAATAAATAAAAATACAGATTCAAATGTTTCCAGGTTTAATTAAATAGAGCCTATTATTCAATGGATTTTGTTAGTTGATTTATTATTATTATTATTATTATTATTATTATTATTATTATAAGGTTATGTTGATCGAAGCTGTGGATTTTGACGGTTACTTTGATAAACTTTCTTTGTTTCTAGTTTCTCACTTCTTTTTTGGCCAATCCTTGTTTCTCACTTTGGATGTTAGACATTTAGCATTGCGTATACGCGTCACAGGCAATCGACATAGAAAAGATGATCAGCATTCATCAGCAAATGACAGCTCTGACTTTTACCTAAAAACTTCGCAACATCCAACATAGTAGTCTGAACGCTTTCCGCCAATTCGTACTGTTTGATAGTACGTTTCTTCCAGGTCACAATAATAATAATAATAAATGATCCTACAATTCTTGGAAGATATAATTAACGCGTAGCCTATTATTAGTATTTTGTTTTTCAATAACCATCCCACGTTTAATTAGCGATCACTGTCTACCTACATGCCAGATTGCCTGATAAACGGCTCAGGTCTATTGGATTACTCATTTAAACCTGATTTTTGGAGCAAAGGCTTTGAAAATTGAGTATTTTAGTATAAAATGGCCTCGGAGCTCACCTCATTTAAGCTCAAAAAACTGCTAAGAGTTGGATTACTTGTTTAAGATTATATTTATTTTAACCCAGAAAATTAGAATACTTTATGTTTTTGGATTAAATTTAAAAATTTATTTTGTGTTTGTTTTATATTTTAAAATGAAAATTTGTATTACTTACGTTAAATTTTAAAAAAATTAATTTGTATTTTAGAACATGAATATGTACCATTATAACGTTAAAATTAATTTAACTTGATTAATGATAATTATGAAAAATTAAATTTTTTTTCTAATTTTAACAAATTTTTAATGATTGTGTGTGTGTGTGTAAAGTAGTTAACATGTTCATCATCGTAAGAAGATTGTGTGTGTGTGCGTGTGTATCCATTCAAACACAGAAGTATTGTTGGAAGAATTAAAATTAAACCAGTATCTTATATCAGCCACTAACATAATTTAGAAAGAAGATGCAATTAAAAAATCACAAAAAAATAAGATGTAGTATTAATATTGCTAATCAATTTCTATTGGAGGGAGATTCCCCAAAACTGGAGTATTCACATTTCACAAAAAAAACATTCTTTAAAAAAAATGTCGACTTGTAAATTATAATACGTACTATGCGTCGGAAGATGGTCGGAATTTACACTGAAAAACAATTTAAGAATGAAAATGTTCAGGACAATGATCAAACTAATTATTTTATTTTTATTCCTTTTGATAAAATAATTATTTCATTATCCCCTTTGATGCTCTATTTTGTCTTACATATATTATATTAGAAATATTCAAAAAGATTTATTGTTTACAAGTCATAAATAATATAATAATAACTCATCAATTAATTTCAGATTTCATATAAATTCGTGCATGTCATCACCACCAACTCTAATATGCATTGAATTCTATGTAAAGTCATTTAAATGGTTCATTGTTCATAAATCACAAATAAGATCATGCATGTTTGTTAATGTCATAACCAAATATGTTTGATTGTATTATTATTATTATTATTATTATTAATTAAGTGAGAAATCACTTTCAAATTATACTCCCTTAATCTTAATTTATAAAATACTTTTGATATAATTTGACGTTTCAACATATAAGACATTTTTTAAAAAAATAAAATTTTATTAGTAATTTTTTAATATTATCCTTTATATATTCTCTTTTTTTTAATATTATTTTTTAAATAAATTATTAAATGAAGGATATTTTTAAAAATTTATATTTTATTTTAAAAAGGTAAAGTTGTAAAATAAAATTTATATTTTAACTGTAAAATTAATACTCTTTCACAAATATGTTTATTAAAGTAAGGTTATAAAATTTATATTTTAATAAATTTTATGTAATATTGTCTAAAAATGTCTTATAAATTGAGATAAAAAATATTAAAGATATAAAATTATAATTTAAGAAAATATAAATAAGGATTTATTCTCAAGGGCATTGAATATTTGTTAATTTTTTTACGGTTAATTAATTTTATGAACGTCGTCGATCGGTTGCGTGTCAGTTTCGTCAGTATATATATATATATATATATATTTTCATATGCGTATACAACACGCGTGAATGTGATAGTTGATCGACATAAACGTGAGAGAAATACAGTAAATACAAGACTAATTAGATATTTAGTTTTATCATCTAAAATATTAACTTGTCTTGAATTAATTAAAACTAAATATTTAATTATTTTCATGTAATAATATGATGGACTGTACCATGGCACCTAGCTCATTCCTACGTACTTAAGAAACTAAACTTTAATTAACGTTCAACAATTGTGTATATTCATGTTTTAATACGGATTAACGGACAAATTTGTTGTAAAAGTTTTTAACCAAGTGCAATTAATATTCTAAAATTTTGATTGAAAAAAATGTTACCTTCAAAGTTTTAAAAATTGTGTAATTCCATGTTATAGTAACATTTGACCAACGTGAATCATTAGTTAAAAATTTTGATTAAGATTAATGAGTAATTTTATCCTGAAATTTTTATAACTGAACAATTGGAATCCTCAATTTTCTATTATAATTGTTAAAATGGTTGATATTTAATTTTTTGAATTTTAGCAATAAAAGATATGACCTAAGATTGCTTTGACGCAAAATCAATTATAAATTGAGCACTTTATATAATTTCTCTTAAAATTTAAACTTACCCTTATTTTGCTCACATGAATAATTTTCGGCTTACACAAGTTTAAATGCAAACTTATTCATACTTACTAAGGTGTGACATAGATAAGCTTATAATTCAACTTAAATGCATTTCAAGTAATTTAACATAAAACCTTTTTTTATTTTTGAGTTATAAAAACTCATATTAAATCTTTCTTTTAATTTAAAAATTAATAATACAAAAATATTGCATCAATCAAAAGTTTATAATACTAATTATATTTTTAAATAAAATTATTTTTTAATACTCAAAACAACAGTTAAGTAATGTTGATTAAATATTATTAGAAGATGACATTGTATTATTTTTTAATTTTTTTAGTAAAACTGTACGAATTAGAAATTAAGAATATCATTTATTTGTGACAGAAAATTGTTGGAAATTTTGCCCAAAAACCTTTCTAACATATGGGGATCACCGACATTGGACCCGCGCGTCAAGTCACGTACGGAAGAAGCATTTATTCGAGGGAGGCGGGGGTTGCAAGTTCAGGTCAACAAATGTCAACTTTCAGAAATTCATATTCATAATGGTTTCCAATCCTTGTGTTCCACGTTCATAGTAAGTAAAGACTTCAGCTATATATGTTTCAGATTCTAATTTGTAACCTTCTCTCTCTCTGTTTTTTTTTTGCTTGAACATTCTACCACCAATATTGTTATATTTTTCAAACTCAAATTCAAGACTTCAACTGATTGAGTAGCAATAACTTTTTTGCAAGTTAAACCAATCGCATGGTAATAAGTGATAATGGTCTTTAAGACACTTTTATATACCTTCTTCGTTTAAAAATATAAAATATTTTTAATTAAATTTTATTTTAATAAAATAATTATTTATTTTTAAATTAATTTTATATTTTTATATTTATTTTATTAAACACTTTATAATAAATATAGTATCATTATCAATAGAGATATTTTTAAAAAAATAATAATTATACCTCAAAAAATTAAAAATATTTTACATTTTTAACATCCAACTCCTTAAAAAATATCTTACATTTTTTAAATGATAGAGTATATATTTAGAAAAAAAAAAACACTTCATCCAATTCTATTTATTAGTTACTTTCAACATGTTTTATTAAATATAAAAAATTTAAATTTTATTAAATTTATCTTAAAATTTAATAAAATTTTATATTTATCCATAATAAAGATGAAAATAATTATTTTTAATAATTTTTTAATATTTAATGAGGTAGGAAAATAAAAATAAATATAAAAAAATAATAAAGTGTGATGAAATAAAATTAAAATTAACATTATCTGTCAACCTCGTGAAGTGGGGTCCAGTGGTGCACCTCCAAAGTCCAAACGCGTTTTTTCCTGATCTTTGGGGTCCGCATCCATACGTGGCGCCACCCGAGAAAATGGGAAAGATTGGTTTCTACAAGGGACATTTGTGTTATGTGTTATTATTTATTACTTTCATAATTAAAAATAATTAAAAATTATTTTTTTTCATAGACATTTGCATATCACTCGAGAATTAGCATTGGTAAAATAAATTATGGCCCCTTAAATATAAAGGCTTGAGTTCATGAACAATATTGAGAGAATTACTCCTAATTAAATCCAAAAATGAGTTATACAAAATAACTAAAAATTTTATAACATGCTATAGAAATTGACGTCCACAAGGCAACTTTAATATCTTGATCAATGAAGGTAATAAAAAATTTATAT